CTTCAAAGGTTTGGAGTTAACGTTCTTTTCTGGAGTGTATGGAACATGCATCGGTGCTGTGAATAGGTTTGGCAGAGAAGAGAAAAGCCTCATTGGTCTCTCTGGGATTTTTATTGGTGTTGGGGAAATTTTAGGTGAGTCAAAAGGAAATATTTGCTGATGAGCAACTTGGATTCGTAGAGAGGCACACGTTTTTGCAATCAACAAAGCTAGGCAGGACATCATCCCTCCTCACTCCATAGTGTTGTGAGGAGGAAACAGAAGTCCTGGCACGATACCTTGTGAAAAGATGAAGTGCCTTCATCAGCATCTACCTGAGAAATGTGCCTGCAGGTCTTGGACACCTCTGGCAACCCAGAGCTTCTGTCACCAGGAGAGCTGGTGTGGCAGAGCTGGCAGACACTTCGGGGCTGCTTTTGTGTCTGTCAGTGCTTCAGATGTTAAACACAGGGGTATTACAACCTATATTTTCAGTCTATTTTTAATTTTCATTACTTGGAATTCAATCCCGTTCTTTCTATCTTTGTTTCTGATGTAAGTCTCCCATCTTTTCCGTGCCTACAGGTGGAGGAATCTTTGGTTTACTGAGCAAGAAGAATCGCTTTGGCAGGAACCCCATTGTGATGCTAGGCATCATTGTCCACTTCATTGCCTTTTATTTAATTTTTGTCAACATGCCAAGCAATGCCCCTGTTGCTCCTATGGAAGGAACAGATGATATTGCTTATATGATTCCAAGGTGTGTAAGCTCTTCACTCTGGCTGTTATAACTCAAGGTGCATATAAAACAGCTTGTACTTCTCATAGAAGACTCATTGAAACAGCTTTTTTGTGCATACTCAATTTAGAGGCTTAAATGGTGAAAGAATAAGAAGCACGAGGGTATTTGGTAGCAATTGTACTGTTTGAGAACATAACTCTTACAGTTGTGACCAACAACTCTTGTGCTGGCTGTCAGGAAGTTGGGCTCATTCTTACTGTAGCATAGAACACCAGCTTTTCACTCTATGTGTTTGAATGCTCCTTGTCAAAGCCCAAAGTCTGTTAGTTAGGGGAAGAATATAGGGAGCATTCTTATCAGTGCAAGCTGTTTTTGGGGTGTATTTGTGCTAATTTGTGTGAAAGTAATGTGGTCAGTTTGTGCGGGCACAGCTGCTCAGCTGCAGTGATTAGCATTTGTGCCTGTATGTGGGCCTGTATGTTTTTGATAGGAGTGTTTTTCTGAGTGAATTGGTCTTTTGCTCGTGTTCCTGCAGTTTTGTTGAATTCACTGTATGTCTGTCTTGGCTTTTGATCACTGCTGTGTGGGCTTTATGACTCCAGGCATCGAAATGAGATTTTAGCAGTTCTAATTCAGTGTAGAATTGACTGTTGGTAATACTGACAGAAGCCTTAGCATTCAAGGAATTAAAATCTGATGAAACTATTCTTTTTGCCAGCCAAGTGTTCCCACTTCTTTTCCAATGAAATTTAAAGTTTGGTAACTTTCTTCCATTCTCCATTTCCAAGGCTGTCAAAAGTAGTTCATAGGTTCATGCATTAGTCAGTAGCTGTGTGAGCTGCTTGAATGAGTGATTCTTACATTTGATTGCATTTTTCCTTCAGCAAAGAGGTGGCCATATTCTGCAGCTTTCTGTTGGGCCTGGGAGACAGCTGCTTCAATACCCAGCTGCTCAGCATTTTAGGATTCCTGTATTCTGAAGACAGTGCTCCTGCCTTTGCCATCTTTAAGTTTGTTCAGGTATTACATCCCGTAACCTTCTGAATGTACAAGTGTGGGAATGCTCTTTGTGCAGCTTTAATGAAACTTTTACCCTTAAAAAGGATACGCTGCAAGTGAGCAGGAGTGGTTGTCCGAGTTTCTAGCTGTATTTTGGTAGAAAATAGTTTGTGATGCTGTAAAACTGAAAATAGGTTTTCTGGATTTTGTCCTAAAGCCTTGGCTGCGTTGTTTCCAGACACAATGCTTTGGAATAGAGGAGAACCGTGCTTGCCATGCTTCAAACGCTTTTCAAATGTGTTCATTTTCTGCTGTGAACTCTATTTAAATAAGTACAAACTAAATCTGTTGTATATCATCTAGGGACATATGCTGTGGTATAATTTGATTGCTGTCTCTTCGAAAGAAGCATGCTTAAAGATGCATGTTGAACTGTGTGTATTGCCAGCTCTGTAACCTTGTGCAGCAGTGCTGGAGTGGATATCTCCACTTAAAATCTTTCCCTTTTTTTTTCCCCATCAGTCCATCTGTGCAGCCGTTGCATTTTTCTACAGCAACTACTTCCTTCTGCAGTGGCAGCTCCTGATCATGGTGGTTGTTGGTTTCTTTGGGACAATCACCTTCTTTGCAGTGGAGTGGAAGGCAGCAGCATTGCTTGCCCGTGGCTCTGACTACAGCAGCATTTGATCTCAGTTTCCCACACCTATAAGGAAAAGCACAGGCACGTTTATTGACAAGTGATGCAAGAAGGTGGAAGGATCAAGCTGAAGAGATTCCGACGGAGGAAGCTACTAATAAATCACCAGTCCTCAAACTGAACTTGAAATACAGGAAGAGAAAATGCTGAGACTGAAAGGCTTTTTCCTTGCTTTAATCAGCTGAGTGTGGTGTGCATCTTAAAAATCCTGTGTTAGAAATGGAAGGAAATAGAGATTAATGTATTGAACAGTTTTGTTCTGAGCCACATCTGAATGTGTAATGGCCTAATTTCACTGTCATCCACTGCAGAATTAGTTTTTTCTTTCTCTCCCCAAATTATTTACCTGTATCCTAGTTCTGCAGACACTCAAATTCTCCCACTGAATGACCAATGCTTTTGTGATGTATTGCAGAACGCATCTGTAAAGCTGAGCAATCAATTCACAAGCATTGATATTTTTTTTAACAATTAGATATGCAGGAACATTTCTGCAGGAAATGTCACCTTATTCTTTTACCTGGAAGTTCTCAAATCCTTGTGTAGAACAGTTTGCTTTACTCAGTCACCTCCAGGACACAAAACCAGCCTTTCATCCAGCGTCTCCCAGAGTAGAGCTGTAGTGGGGCAGCTGCTGTCACCTTCTCAGGGTAACGCTACATGAGGGGCTGCAGGCTTCCCTCCCACACGTCCCAGCAGATCTTTTCAGTTCACAGATGGTGATGAAAGTTTCAGTGATGGGAATATTACCAAAGATACGTTCTAAAAGTGCATTTGGAGTCAGAATGTGATCTCTAAGAATCATCTTGTGGTGTTTATTCTGCTGCATGGTCTAAAAATACCTGAGATGATTGATGTCAGCTGTTTCCTTCAGTATATTTAGGGAAGACTGTACTGTAATGTGGAAACAAGCTGAATGGCATGGCAACTAAATTTTAATCCGGAACGGTTGTAGATGGTGATCTCCTGCACTCAGCAAGTGCACCCCACCTTGCTTTTAGCTGTCTGCATGACATTGTATTGCTGTTTTGTTTCCATCTAGCAGGTAAACACGATGCAGCTGAAAGCAGATAAACAACACTGAGCAAGTGGGAGTTTTTTAGACACTCCATGTAACTATTCTTAGAAAAGTACCATTTCCCAAGCTTTTCATGCACAGTCAGAATGCAAATGTCTTGTTATATGTTCAAAGGCACGTAAAAATATTGGCTTGGAGTATGCATTAGTAGCTCCTGCGTGTCGTACAGACATAGGTGTGCCCAAGGTTAAACTTGGTGAGGGAGTATGGTGTCTCCTGTGACATTTGCTGTCACTTCTGTTCTTGCAGAGCATATGAAACACTGCTCCCATGAAGCACAGCTGTCCTCGTGCATAATGAGACAGCAGAGAAGGATTATTTTAGAGGTATAGGAGAAGATGTAAAATTCGCTCTAGGTTTTCTTGCTATGAGTTTAGTAAGGTGTTAGTGGGAGGATTAGGAGGCACCTGAACAACTGGCAAGCAAAGAAATCTGAGGACAGCCAGGAAAGCCTCTGTATATTTCCAGGAGATGTAATGGATGATGTGGAAGGATGGGATGAGGGCGCACACTGAGTGAGGGGTTACTGAAGCCATTCCAATTTGTCAGGCAAACTGAGAAAGTGTTTGGTATTCAATCACAAAAAGTGAGTAGCAGCACTCAAACCTCTTATCCACCCCTGTTATCCTGCAATGTAAGCGTGCTGTTTGTACACAGAGCTCCATAAGATGTATAGGTGATAGGATGCTGGCAGTGGTTACAGTCCTCCTGTTGCTATGTACCTGTATTTTTCTCTCAGATATAAAAGGGATAAAGAATCTTCTTAAAAATGCAGGCAGTTACTTTCCTCTCTGATTTGTGAGACTTGTTCTCCCCATACAGATGAACGAGAGAAGGCAAAGCTCGCAGGAAACAACTTTGTCTTGCAGTGCATGGGAGGGAAAATCATTTCTGGGTCTTGTAGTAATGAGTAACTGAAAGTGACCCTGCTTCATTGTACTAGATAACAGCTCTCGTGAGGTTACTCCTGAAATCGGTCTGTTCTAATGAATTTGCATTGTTCATCTGTGGCATAAGAATTATATCAACTATTTTATTAGAAATTCAGGAAAGCCAGCAATCCGGTGTGGTTTCAGCAAACATTTTGAGGCTGGCAATGGGGGCTACTGATGAACTGGGTTTTGTGCACACGTGGTGCTTCTGTACATCAGATTTCTCTTTGTTTCCCTTTCCCTGTTCTCTTTGCTCTGACTCCATGACAGAGAATGCCATAAGGCTGTTGGGGGCACTGAAGTATTATTGCTCTGTGACAAGTTTTACAAGACATTGAGAGAGATAAATATCTCAGTATATATTTGCTGTTAACTGTACGACTTTTAAACTTTGGATCTTAAGGGAAGGTTTGCAGTTGATTGAGCCATGACACACGATTGTTTCTTCACTTATTTCTGTGATTTATTGAGTGATTAAAAAAAAATCCACACAGCTGTACGCAATGGTTGGATGGGTCAGAATGTTTGGCGTAGCAGTCTGAAGAATGGCAGTGCTGGCAGCTGTCATCATTCCATCTCTTAATCTTCCTATCAGTGTTTACCAGCCCTGAGGATGGACCCCATTCATTTTACCTCCTTGGCTTTTGAACAGTTCCACATTAATGTGAGTTGGGAGCTTGGGTTTATTTCATTGGGATTTGAGGGGAGGGAGAAAGGGCTTCAGATGTGATTATGGTATCATGGTTTTGTTTTAATGTTAGGGATTTTATCTTTATAAGTGAAATTACATATTAATTTGCTTGAGTTTATTTGAAAAATCTTTTTTCTTTTCCTGCTCTTATCCTTTTATGTTATTATTGAGGTTTAATATCCGGACATATTGCATCCAAGTTCTCCAGACAAATGCTAAGAGGAAATGAAAACTGATATTCCTGACATTGAGTGCCAGAGATGCTGCTAGGGATTAGTCTTTCATGCATATCGTGTAAGCTGATCCACATTTCTGTCTTGTCAGTTGGTTTTCCTTCTGATACAATAGGAATGTATGCAAAGAGAATTTCTGCAGCTTTAGCCCTTGTTTGTAACTAAGCAATGCGCTTTTATTTCTGTTGTGTTCATTTCATTTGGTACAATCTACATAAGAACGTTGAGATAAGGAAGAGAAGCATTTATAGAAGGTTCTTTCTGAATGTGGTCTTCATGATCGAATTTCTGCTGATACAGCTAAATTAGGAGGGGGTATTTGAGGGGAGGGAAATCATAACTTCTGCTGAGATCCTTATGGCAGTAAAGGCCCTCCTATGGTGTCCTCATCCCTGCAGACAGCCAAGGGCAGGGATGGGCTGTGAGCACTGATGGAGCTGTGGGTGTCCCTGCTCAGGGCAGGGGTGGCACCAGATGGCCTTTAGGGTCCCTTCCAGCTCCAACCATTCCATGATTCTATGATTGTATGCCTGTTTAAATCGAGAAGCCTTCAGCTGGTGGTGTTCTGTGTTGTGGCCAATTCTGGAAAGAACTCTGTGGTGGAGTTTGCTATGAAACTTTGTTAAGTTTCATGGAAAATTAGTGCAGAAAACTATAAATTTGGGGCCTTGTGTCTGTTGACCCAATTGGGAAAATCTCACTTGCCTTAACTCCTGTAGTTAACTTCAGGAGCCTGGTTCCTTTGGCCAATGCTGCTGAGGTTTCCTGGGAGCTGGGCTGGGTGTAAGAAGCGTGCCACACACAGAGAGAGCTGCTGAGGATTTCTAGAGCAGTGTTTAGTTGTTTGCTGATGGCCAGTAGCACAGAAAACAAGGCGGAATAGAATGCTGGGCATGGAGTCACGAGGCGATGTCCTCCTCCAAGTGATCCTAATGACACGATGACATTGTGCAGAAGTCTAATGGTTGCAATTTCTCTTTAATTAGAGATGTCTTTGGGTTAGACTTGGTGGTACGTGAGTTGAGAATGAGCTCAGACACAATTATCTTAATGATAACACTGATTTTGAGTGTACTGAATGCAAGCAGACTATTCTATTTCTCCATTGCAGGTTCTTCAGACTCCTCTGTGGCTCCATGGCATGATGGCTGGGCAGCCTCCATGTGCTGCTGTCAGACAGAGAATCTGTATTCGGTTGCTGACTGAAATATCCTTTATGTGTGCAATTAGAAAAGCACCACTTAGGCCGGCTGTCAGCGCACACAGCCTTTGAGTCTTTGGATGAAAGGACATTCAGGAGTTTGTGCTTCAAAGTTGAGTCATGAAGGGGGGGGAAAGTAGAAGGTTTGTGCCTTAAACGAAGCATCAATCATCCTGTCATCTTGAAGGGAAATAGCTATTCGTTAAGGTCACTTAGTGAAATTAGCTTCAATTAAGTAACTTTACTAAATGCAATGGTGGCTGGTCATTGCTGGAACCACTCATCTTGCAGGAAAGCCTGACCTGCACAGTTTGTTATCATTATTAGTCTTTACTTAAAAAAAACCAACCAACAGAGTAATTGCACAGATAACAGCTTGTTTTAGAGAACCTCCCAACCATACATCATTCTTTGTTTCATGCTTGCAGAGGTGTAACAGTGGTACAGGACATTTGGTTCAGTGCTCCGGTGCTGAGTGATTGTAGGAGGCAAAGAAAATGATTCTTCTGTAGCAGTGCAGGCAGTCCTCCAACTGAACCCGTGAATAGGCACGACTGTATGTTTTCCAATCAGAGTAAGTGTCTAATTGCTGGTTATTATTACTTTAAATGAAGAAGATACATTTTTACAAGCGGATGCTGGTTGGCCCTGTGGTCCGGAGATGAGGTGGTGTGCAATGATGTGACCCCAGCCTGCAGGTAGTGACAGTGTCAGCTGAGTGCTGAGCAGTCACGGTGACTTGCTGCTTGTTTCACACCTTCCCAGCAGCTGTGTGTGCCCACTGCTCCGTGTCACGCTCACTTGGGGCTGAGCACGGTGCTACAAGGGAGCAGGAGGTGAATGGCATCACAAGCTGCCAGGGCACCTCTGCTCTGCTTGAGCGGCGTGATGGATGGAGCACGGTGCAGGTGGAGGACAGCTGTGAAGGCTCAGCATTTTCCCTTGCTGCTAATTTCTCTGTAACTCTGATCTAAAATCTGCAGGCTACGTTTATAAATTAACTTCATTCCCACTATGCATATTCCTGTAAAATACTTGTGCAGAATATAAATGACCGCTGTTCTGATGCATTTCTGCACTCGGTTGCCGCAGGGTGGGAACAAGCCGTGCATCAGATGCTGTGAGGTGCTTTCTCCCTGTGCACTGGTGGCCCAGCATGTGCTTGTGCTGTAGTTGGGCTTCCTGGAGAAAACACAACACGAGTGAGACTTCAAACGTTGCAGTGCTCACATTCACATGCCGCCCTTACCTCAATGCGGAGCGAAATCGAGCTGCAATCACAGGCAGAGCTCAGTGACATTTATGTGTAATTATAATGATTATACTTTATAAGAGCCTAATTCTGCAAATTCTCAGATGTGTTGGCGAGGCACTGCCCTGTGCCAGTCGGTGGCAGAGGACAGGGCTGGGTGCCCTGCGGGTGCTCAGCAGTCGGTGTGTGGCTGCGCTGCTGTGATTTGATACATGCACAAAAAATGACTGCAGGGGAAGGAGAGGGCATTATGCACACTGAGCTTCATTTCATGCAGAAAGCGATTGGACTCAAAAGTTTGCTTGGCAATAAAAATAGTACTTATGTAGTATTTGCTACTGCAGTAAACAAACAGAGGGATGGGGACCTGAAGCCTGCAGCCCTGGGAGCATCATGCTCAAAGCATTTGTGGGTAACAAAATGAGGTGAGGGAGAGTCATGTCGTGCTGTCATTGATGGAGGGGTTTGCTGGGCTTTAGGGGCCAGCAACTGAAGAGAGCACTGTGATGCTTGTGAGCACCTACTTACCTTGCAGGCTTAGGCTGCATTGGAGCACCCTATGTTCCAAGCAGCTGGAGGTGCAGTTTGATGGTCAATATTCTAATGAGAGGATGTGTTCAGTAAGAATGATGGTGTTCTTGGATCATCAATGAACTCTGAAACAAAGTTGTTTTGTCTCTGGTGGAATTAAAGACTTAAAATGTCAATAGTACTTAGATGTAGAGAGTGTTCAGTGCTTTCTACCACAAAGCATTGCTGTGAAATACTTGATTTTCTGCTGTCAATAAACCCCTTCCTAGTAAACTTCAACAAAGTAAAGTTATGTACCTGTGGTAATGGCATCCTATGTGGAGCTGCTGCTGGAGTCATTGCTCCCAGCCTGTCTGGTGTGCACATCTCCAGTGCTGCCATCTCAGAGCTCATACCCAAACAATGTATTCCTCTCTGGGATGTCCAGTGCTTCCCTGCGTGCCCTGGGAGGTGCCTTTTTGTGCTCCTCACTGCCAGCAACTGCCTTTCAATTCCATGCAGCTCAGCTCTTTGTCCAGCAGCCTGCCTTGCAAGTTGAGGTTACCTGCCAGCAGGTTCTTGAGATGTGTTTAAACAAAAAAGAAGTTTGGACTGGGAGCTGACAATGTTTCATTATTACTGATTGCTTTTTTTTGTCCTTCTCTGTAGCAACTTCTGTAGAGCTGAGGACTGGGCTGCAAGGCTCTGAGCAGTGAGGTGGGGGGTGTGTGTGCCACTGCCCTGCTGTGCCCCCCCAGGGCCACTTGGTAGCCATGTTTTCTGCCAGGATATTGCACTGCCAGGCCTGTATGGCTACTGACCGGTGTTTGCCTCCCCCCTTATCTAGCAGCAAGACAATTCCAGCCTCTGTAATTAATGAGTCTCTCCTGCTGGGGCCGTGGGTGAAACATCAGCACAGGAAATTGGCCGGGCTAAGCGGTGGCTGTGTTGCATCCCAGCTCTGAGGCAGCACACAGCCAGCTGAGATGAATTGCTGCTCGGATGCTGAGCCATTGATCATCCTCAGGTCTGCAGGCAGGCACAGGAGCTGCCCCCAGTGCTGTCCTCCCTCGACGTGGGGCCTTGTTTTTGCAAATGCCCCACATGCTGGTGGATGGAGGAGAATAGGTTGTGGGTCCGCACCTCAGAGGGCAGCTCATGTGACAGCCCTGAGAGCAGAAAGGGCCTGGCACAGTGATGCTGTGTGCTGCTGTTGATTAAGAGGAAAGCCAATTTATGCGGCCTGTAGTGAAGCATGAGATTAAATATGCAGCAGGCTCTTGATTGTTTCAGATGTGGTGCTTTGAGCTGTTGAGAAAAGCTTTTCCTTGGGAGGATCCTGACGGTGTGGGCCTGAAAGATGGGCTCAGGCTGTCACCCTGCAGCATCACTCACTCCTGCAGCATTACCTTGTGCCATGCACAGGGGCAGAGGAGATGCAGTGCATGGAGCTCAGCTCTGTGCCTTTGTGCCTCTATCCCAGCTCCTGAGGAGAGATGCTGGCCTTTCAGACAGCTTCCTAAAAATTCATGGGCACTAGAATAATCCCTGGCCTTACTGGGCTCCTTTTGGAGGTGCAGCATGTCCTGTGCTTTGGGACTCCCTCCTAGCTGCAGCTCCTTCTGCCCTGGGTGCCTCGCTTTCGCTTACATTTGCCCCTGTTGGCACATTAATGCATTTCAGACACCGTTGGATGGCTGCACCAATGAAATTCCATCAGTCCAAAGAGATGAAGTGGGCAAATCTGCTCGAGCTTCCTGTGGGGGAAAGGTGCTGAGTGCATTCAGGCAGGGGGTGGATTTATATCTATACATGCATTTTGCAGAAGCAGCTTTTCCCAGTGTTGCAGTTCATCTTGTTAATAAATCTCTCGTAACACCTCCCCGCAGCAGCCCTCCAGAAATCAGCTAACGAGGAGAAAGTCAAGATCAAAGATGAGCATCCTAATCCATTATCAACACATGCCATCAGACTCTCCATCTGCCAGCAGAGGGCCCTGTGAGCTGACAACGAGGAGCCTGCAGATGCTCAGCCACCGCCGTGCCTTCACCACCGTTTGGTTTGGGTTGGTGTCAGCTTGGATAAGTGGCATTGTGCTCTAGAAAAAGCCACGCAGAGCCATGTTGTGCACTGGCACATGCTGCCCAGGGAGGTGGTGCTGGAGTCACCATCCCAGAGGTGTCCAGGTGCTGTGATGAGTTCAAAGGCTGTAGGCAGTGCTGGTGGTAGGAGAACGGTTGGTCTGGATGATCTTGGAGCTCTTTTCCAACCTTAACGATTCTATGAAAAGAAGAAAAGTAACAGCAGGTAAAGGATGGTTTAATTTAGCAGCTCATTTTGGCCAAGTAATTATTTCTTTAAAAGCCCTGGATTGGTTAAAAGTATCACAATTATGTTTTTTTTTTTAATTATGTCTACAGAATGAAGCGCTCGTTTAATTAGTAAACATTTGGCATGCCTTTAAATAGGCTTTTAATTACATTAAAGGGACACTGTCAAGGTGTCTTTCATCATTTTTAATAGACCTGCAGTTTTATCCCCCCTCCTTGCGTTTGGGTGCCACACATTGGGCTCCAGACAAAAAAAAAAAACAAGAAGTAATTTTAAAGAAGGCACTGTGTCCTTAAAAGACATTGAAAAAGACTCATTTTTTTTCTGCTTGGAGGAGCCCTGTTCCTGTGGAGCAGCCCTACGTGTAGCTGTGGGGCTGGGACAGGAGGCTGCTCAGGTTTCCCAGTGTGTGGGCAGCATCCTTGCAGCCCTTAATCAAAGGCGCTTTCTGAACATCCTGCTGTAGCATTCAGGTGTTGCTCTGTGTCCTGCAGAAGCCCAGGGATTGCCTGCCAGCCCTTGGGGCTCGGTGGCTGCGTGCAGAGGTGACAGTCCCAGCACTGGGCATCACGTCCTGGCTGAGAAAGGTGCTCCGCTCCTAAGCGCTGCTCATCACCCTTCATGCTCGGTGGCAGCTCTCAGCCGGGGGAACTCATGCCCAGAAGGGTCGTGCCCTGTGCTGAAGTAACAGCTTTCCCCCCATAAATCACCTCAACTCCTCCCTGCTGGAGCAGATGCTGCTCCTACAGCCTTACGGCTCGCAGCTGTCGCAGTCAGCAGCTCTCCTAATAAATCACCAGTGCAGTGCTAACTGATAGTGATGCAAGCTCCCAGAGGAAGCCTGGTGCTGAGTTCCCAAGCTGATGCTTGCCTTTTCATCCCCAACCTGCGTGATGCTGCCCTATCCTTTAGGGCTAAGCCTGATGAATGCCAGCCCACGAGGGGTATTGCTCGTTCCCTGCCCGGAGCTGGTGGGCTCACTGTGCCTGTGTAGTTGGTGACTGATAAAAGAGGCACTGAGCAGCACAACAAAGCATGGCTCAGCCTGTGTGTCTCCATTGCCCCGCTGCGCATCACTGGAGCTCGAGTTTCTGGCCTCTGTTCTTGGCAAGGCTCTGTAATTAAAACATATGCAATAACCAGAGGCACAGATAGCCTGGCCTGGGTGAGCCTTTCCTGGCATGCCTCCAAAGGTAAAGAAATAAAAACTCAGACCGGAGTGTGGCAGCGGGGAGGCAGTGCTGGTGGCCCTCTTGGGGTGTGGGGTGACCCCATGGGTTGCAAGGTCCAGTGTCCTTGCCTGTACACCTGCTCTGCTGGCCAGCAGCACATATCCTCCTTCTGCACAGCCTGAGCACCTTCCCAACTATTCCTTTCATTCCTCTTTATCCCCAACAGCCCCAGTGATCTCCCGGGAGGAGCGCTACGCATGGAGTGATGGAGGAGCCATCTCCATCCTTGGATCAGGAAGCCATACTGCTCCTCTTCCCCCTTCTTGCAAAGGGAGCCATGCTACCTCCTTCCAGCTCCAGTTTCCAGGGATACAGGGATGGAGACTGCAGCAGGTGAGGGTGCTGCCTCTGCTGCCCCAAAATCAGAATGTGGTGCTGGGAAGTTGCATGGTGCAGAGGGACTCTTGTCCTCTTGCTCTGCTTGGCATCACTGTGCTGGGCAGAGGGGATGGTGCTGCAGGACCCATGCCATATGTAGCTCCCTGCATGTGGCCGTGCAGCCTGGTTTTGTAGGGTCAGACACCCCAGGAGCCTTGCCATTCCACTGCTGCTCCATGCTGCATGGAGGCGAGGTCCCTGAAGTGCAACCTGCACCCTTTGTGCCCCCACTCTTACAGCTCAAGATCTTTCTGGAAAGGAGTTGTGAACAAGCAGGATCACAGCTTTGCAAGGCTTCCATAAAGTATGAATGCATAATAACATTTGCATAAATAATTCAAGATAGTCAGCACGGGGGATCTTTCCTCGGCAGTTTCACGTGGGCTCCTGCAGCTCGGTTGTCTCCATGCTGGGCGTGAGTATCTCCCTGCATTTAGAACAGGCAAATCCTTGGTGTGCTGCATCTCCTGCTCCTCCTCAGCCTGCAAATCGTTCTCCCTCCCGCCTTGCTGCTCCTTCCCCAAGCTCCCAGCGCTATTAGCACCTCTAATTAGAGCTGCTTATTGATGTACTGCTGTTTGCCTAAGCGTGGCTGATGAAGGCAAAAAAGCCCAGAGCTGAAGTGAATCTGGGGATTGCTAGGAGAGGGGATTGGTGGCACCGTTTTCTAAAACAGGGTTGGGGGTCACCTGTCTTCCTTCTACAACACCTGGGAGCCTGATTGGAGTCCTGATAGTCCTGCAGAAACCGAGACCTGAGCATGCTGGTTCTCCCAGGGCTTCTCTGCAGTGCCCAGTATGGGACCAGGGGCATTTTCCCCAGGCCAGTTGCTCATTTCTTGGGCGTCTCTGGGAATATTCATTGGATTGTCCTCTCTGATCCAGCGCAGCAGCAACAGGGTGTCTGGGAAGAAGTCCTGATGCCATACTTCTTCCTCCAGGTGCCACCAACAGTTGCTTTTGTGTAGGTCCCTGCATATTTGTGTCCAGAGAGTGCTGATGGTTGGATTAGATGACCTTGAGGTCTTTTCTGCCCATTAATGATTCTATGCACCTCCGTTCAGGAGCAGGAGTTGAGCACTGAGTTGTGGGCATGGGGCTGATCCTATTGTGTCACTCGTGGGTTATGACCTTGGGGTGCCATTACCTCTGCAAAGCCACCAGAGCAGTGCTGACAGTTCCTTGGTGTGCTGAAGGGTAGGGATGGATGTTGTGCCACGAGGACGCGTGCTGCATCCCACTGACACGTAGGGATGTCCCTCCTGATTTCTCCTTACCTAGGCTCTTGAGGCTTTCCCCAGCCCATGCATGGTGATGGCAGCCGTGGCAAGATGGCACCGCTGGGCTTGGAGGGAATGGAGACCCCAGAAGGTGCTGTTGAGAGCATGATGGAGCCCCATGGAGCACAGCATCCCCAGCATTGCCTTCTCCCTGGGACAAGGCAGAGGGTGACGTGCTTCAGGAGAAGCATTCCCTCCCCCTCACCGTCAGGTTTTATTAATTCCCCACGCGGTGAAGTCTCTATTAATAATGGTTGCAGGATCTGGCTGGTAAGCTGGGTAATGAGATTCTCTACCTGCTGTTCCTGCGCTGCTGTGATTATGTTCGGAGGGCCAAATTCTATGTGGATTAATTAAAATGAAAACAAAAGTGAAAAAGAGGAGTTTGCCTGAATTATTTACCAGTATCAAGGAGACAAAGCAGTAATTGCGAGAGTCTCATTGCAGGTGTTGGGGCCGAATCGAGGGCTGGCTGCTGCTCCTGTTGGGTGTTCATCAATCCTCGTGGATGCTGCGGGAGCTGCTGCCTCAGCTCCTTCCTGCCCAGCCTTCAGGAGCCCCCTGTTGGCTTCAAAGGGGTTGGGACTGCTTTTCACTGGGACACTGCGTTGCCTGTAGGCTCTGTGACGCCATACCTGCTGACCCCAGTGCTGACACCTGCAGCAGCTCAATGCCATCGGCTTGTCTGTAGGAAATGAGCAACGGAAAGAAAGCAAAATGAAAGGAAATGGTCCAAAAAATTCCACTTAATCATATACGCTGTGATCAATATTGATTTATCTCCATATTAACGTCCTGCCGAAGAGAAAGAAGCAGAGCTGCCTGTTGGAGTTAATCTTTAAAGCCTATAAAGATTTAGGGCAGCGTAATCGCTCCCAGATTTGATACTTTATGGCCGTTCACGTTTCCAGTTTTTAACCCTACATCCTGTGCAACAGGAGGAAGACTCAACGTGAGGAGCAAAGCAGCACAAAGCCCTTCTGCATGGCATGGCCAAGCGCAGAGAGCAGAGCAATGGGGCAGATCGTTGTGAGCTTTGGTGGTCAGCAGCAAGGCAAAGCTGCTTGGAGCTCCCAGTTTCACGTTGTCTGGTGCATTTCTTTCTCTGAGTTTTCTATTCATCTGAATTGTATTTTATTTTTTTCCCTTGGGTCTCTACTAATAGGAATTGCTTTGTTGTTAAACTCAATTTCACTCTTGACTGGATTGAAATATGCTTATTTCCCTTCTAAAATCGTCATCATAAAAATCTAGAATGATCTCCGCTCGTTTTACGTGAGAAGGGAACATTCTTCTTCATGCAGGTTTTGGTGTCTGAGGGTTTATATGTTTGTTTTCATCACTGTGTGATGCCAGCCCGTAACTTGGGGTTCCTCACTGCTGCTTCATGATCCAGACTGGTCAGCGGATGATTTGCTGGGTGATTCTGGATGCCCTTTGGTGGGGATGGAGCTCCCCATTGCTCTGAATGGCCATTTCTCTGCACAGCCCCTGGGGTGCAGGAGGGCTCAGGGCTGTGGGGGTTTGCAGGGGGAAATGCAGCAGGAGTGCAGGGTGTGCTGCAGTGAGGGCACCCAGCGGCCCCAGCACAAATTGGGCTCTTCTGCCTCTTGCTTCTAAAACGGGAGAGCAGAGAGCCCTGCTTGGAGCCTGGCCCTGCTGGGGCTTCATTAGGAGAGAGAAATCAGGGTGTGGGATGGTTTGTGAGATGGGGAATGGAGATATGTGGCTCTGACTTGTGGGCTAAGCCTCAAGCAAGCTCACCCAAAGGAGGATGCCTTCATCCCCTGGGGATGGGGCTCAGTGTTTTCCCCCCCTTCATGCACCTCTTGCTAGAGTCTGCCCAGAGCTACCATTGCTGTGAGGTGTCCCTGCTGGCTGTCTCAGGGGGGAACGTGGCTCCAGCAGTGCTCTGCAGAGATGTGGGAGCACATTGAAGCTCCACTGCACACCTCCCTCTCTAATTTGCAATTGCTGCTTTTGTTTCCTCTGGGCAATCTTCCTTTGCAGCAGAGCAGTCAGGAAGTGGCTGCTGGTGGGGACCTTCCTTTCACCTTTTGTTTTTATTTTTTCCCTTGGTTAAGCCAAAGTCAGCGCTGTTTGTCAGTAACACCATAAGAAAAATACACTGATTCCCTTCTCCAAGAGGAATAAGAGAAATTCAGCTTCTCTTCCGCTCTCAAAGCACATAATCCTATGGGGATCTAAGGAGCGATCCTCTGCTCTGTTTTCCTGAGCTTTGAGTGCATTAGCAGCTAATGGAAAGGAAGGACTGTGCTGATGGGCTGGCAAGGGTGGGAGCATTCCAAATTCCCAATGCTGAGGTTACCTCGAGCTGATGGGAGCTGTGGGATGCTGTGCTTTGTGCTGACCAGGCTGTGTGTCCCCACTTGGGTGCTGGGTGGATGTTCTGTTGGCAGAATCCCTTCCTGACTCTCATTCTTTTAGCAGCTTTGGGACCTGGGCGTGCAGTGGGGCCTCAGGCTTCCCAGGAGCTGTGTTTTCCCCATCCTCAGCCTTCCCTCAGGACAGAGGCACAGTGCAGTAATTGAGGCTGAGCCAGAGAGGGAGTGGAGTTGTTAGAGACCAATGAGGAGGGCCTTTATCCCCAGCCACAGCTTGAGGGGGATGGAGGAGTTACGGTTGTAAGTGATCTTATCAGCCAGAGCGTTTGGGCACAGCAGCTCCTGCAATCAAATTATATTCCCTATCTCAAGGGCAAAATTGTGCATGGGGAGAACTTGAGACAAGTGGCTTGTCACCATCTATTACTGCTTGGTGGCTCGCTGTGATCCTCTTCCAATGCAATCATTCTTTTTTCACGAAGACCCAATGGCCTGGCGAGAAGAAATGTGGGCAGGGCCGAGCCCTGGGGCTTGGTGGTACTGAATCATAGAATCATGGAATGGCTGGAGCTGGAAGGGACCCTAAAGGCCATCTGGTGCCACCCCTGCCCTGAGGAGGGACACCCACAGCTCCATCAGTGCTCACATCCCTGCCCTTGGCTGTCTGCAGGGATGGGGCACCACCGCCTCTCTGGGCAACCTTTTGGAGGGTGCAGGGCTGGAGCAGAAAGTCCATGGCTGCTGAATTGGTCCTCTCTTTTCCCTGCTGCTGCCCAATCCATATGATTCACAATAATAACAAACATACACGTGTATGTGTACATAGAACTTCAGCATATTGATTTTTGGGGGCCATTGTTTCTCAGCTTCCATAGATGATTCACTGCATTATTACCCTTCTTGGGTTTTAGATTTATCACTCCAAGCAGACAGCAGGCTGTAGTTAATTAAGCTTTTGTTTCAGGCAGCAGCAGGGGGAAGGGACAGGCTGCTGCTGTGCTGCTCCTCAGGAATGAAGGTGCCACATTCCCACCATGGAGACACATCCTGCACCAGCAGGGGTGGCTCTGGCTGGGCTGTGGCACATCCAAAGGGCTCTTGGAGGAGCGCGGTTTGTTCGTCTGAAGCCAAACAGGTTTTCAACTGCAAGATTTGCATGCTCCCTTGAGCTGAATGGGCTTTGTGTTCCCTGGACACTGTTGTAAATGCAGTTTCCCCCTTGCGCCCTGCTGTGCTGTGTGTGGGCAATGCCTTTCCTCCTGCCTGAGCGGTTCTCCAGGCCTTGCTCAATGCCCTGCAGGGTGAGGCACGTCTGCACAAGCAGAGCAGCA